TTACTAAATTTCACTGGCGTGATGTCGGCTAAATGAGCTGTCGGTGAAGTGATTGTCGGTAAAATAATACGGACCCACAGTTAAGTATGTACATAATGATAATTATTGTATCTTATATATTCAAAATAAGTCAACTAATTATAGTAAAATTCTAAAAAGGTTTGGTAATATGAATTTTTGGGAATGATCAATAAACTTGTTGATTATGTTGTACGTCGGAATGGAATATTGTAGATTTAGGTTGTAATAGAATTCTAAAAAGCAGCCGAGTAGTTAAAGAATTCCTATTCAACTTACAACAAAATTACGTGTATTCCAAATTATTTCATCGAGTCCGATGTTTTGGAATTTAAGTTGTTTCAGGAAAGGGTTATTCATAACACAGCACATTGCCAATTAATTAAATTTGAAAGCATTACACTAAGTTTTACTTCTTGATCAGTGGGATGACAACTATTCTTACAGGGTTCAATTCATTTTTTAACATTCACAATTATTTTTATCACACGCATTCTGCAATTGGATCTAATATTACCTATTTGTGATGAGGATTGCATAATACTGTAAACACTTTTCAAAAGCTTATGAGCATTGAAGAAATAATCTCCAACTCTGGAAACTTGTCGCGACCCAATAAACACATGTAGATCTGAGTCAAATTTAATAAGCTGCGTGTCGAAATCATGTATTACAAATGCATTTTTACCCAATAACGATCTTTTGCATTCCCAAATATTATATTTGCTTGTTCTTATAAAACCTTAATACAAAAATTAAGTTTTCACATAAAGGTTTTACGTTGCCTATTAGCCGACTTGTTACTAAGATATGTTGAAAGCAAATCTTCGAATGTATTACAAGGTAAAAACGATAACCTTATATTAAAAATTTTATACAAATGGGGTCTTTGCCTTGAAAATCACCTTCCGACATTTGCGATCGGGTTAATTCGGACAAAAATTAACCCGAGTATCGTTTAATTTAGGCAAAAATTAACCCGAGTATCGGTTAATTCGGACAAAAATTAATAATAACCCGAGTATCGTTTAATTCGGACAAAAATTAATCGAGTACCGGTTAATTCGGACAAAAATTAACCCGAGTACCGGTTCATGTTCATATGTTAAACATCTTTTACTTTTATTGATTCAATAGTTATTCGATAAACTATTGAATAAATAAAGTTAAATGATGATTGGAAATATGAACCAGTCGGAAATGTCGGAAGGTGATTTTCAGGGCAAAGACCCTAAATTAGAGATGACATTATGTACGTACGTACGTACATTACATTATGCAAAACATAATGTCGCATAATGTGATGTAGATATTTTAAATTTAAAAGTGCACATAGAATTACTATATAATTTTAATGCAGCAAACATTATATTTTATATCATATGTAATACTAAGTGATATGTAGCATCTGTTAGTGATTTCCTGCCTGTATAAAGCAGGCTAACTAATATAAGGTTTGAAAATACCATAAAATGGTAAACTTCTGTCTAGAGATAAGAAAGGTTGAGTATGAATCTTGCTTCTTGATTTTGGTATTGCATAACGTCCATGCTGCATTACCCTAAATGATCTACATGACAAATCGTGTATTTATTTTAGTAGCCAACATTACGCCAAGTGACAATTTATACTGTCGGTGAAGTGAGCAATGCGGATGAAACTACGCAAAACAATAATTCATTTTTAAAATAAAACATGGTCACATCCATTCAGGGGCTTATCGAATGAACGTTTGAATCAATAAAGGCACAACTATTATAAAGAATTAATTCCAGTATAGATCACACCTATTTTAACGATATTTAAATATTTAATTCTAAGTGATTACTACCAAAAATAGCGAATTGCAAATTACGTTTTTATCAGTAGCGCAAATGGAGTGGCCTATTACGGATATTGACCTTATTCAATGTGTAATGAAAATTATATATTTAAGATGGGAATGGTACGATCTATCTTTTTTCTTTATTTTACCATTACTATCATACTCCATTCTAAACTATTGCAATTATGAAAATAACCTTTTTAGCTAATTTGTTATTAATTATTTTTGCTTTACAAAATAATCCAAAAATTTATGCTTACAAAGAACCATTAGAGAAATTATGGAATGTAAGCTATAATATGTTACCTACGCTATTGGGTGACGGAAAGGCTTTAACGAGGATAGATGCATTCCTACAGCCAGCACTAAGACAATATAGCAAAAGTATAGGAGGAACTTATATAGACGTACCAGGGAATAAGTTATATATTAATGTATTAAACCATGATATGGATGCGGTTAAACGTAGAGTAAATTCTAGGTTTCCAGAATATAATAATTTATTCGTTTATAAACCAGTAAAATTTTCCATAGTAGAATTAAAAGAAATTTTTGATCAAATATTAGATCAAGCTAAAAAAATTGGACCTCAATTTGTTGCTAGCTACATTTCTATAGAATCTAATCACATTTATTTATACTCATTTAAAGAACATGATGTTAAGAAGAAGCGAAATAGAAGGTTTTTTGATGCTATCAGACAAATTCGTCAATATAACGAAACTGTTGAACATATTTACCTTATCCTTCCTCCTAAACCTGAAGATCCTGAAGATCCTGACGTTCCTGGCCATCATGACCATAATACTCAACCTTTTTTTGAAACAAATAATGTTGAGACAAATCCTATAAATACTCGTGTTTTAATAAATGAACGAATCCTGGCTGGAGATGGAATAATGAATATCTTCGGGAGATGTTCATTGGGTTTTTGGGCAAAATCAAAAGACTTAAAATCCAATTATTTAGTAACTGCAGGTCATTGCAGTCACGATTCGCTTTTGTATTACTATGTTCCATGGAATACGAATATAACTATAGATGTAGATCCAATTGGGACATCAATCAAAAAACAGCCCGTTCCGCTCGATGTTACTTTAATATCTATACATGAAAATTTTACCAAAAATTTCGATTCAGTACTGGCTGTAAGGAACACTGATTCTGAAAAGTATAAAGAGTTGATTGTTGAAGATGACGCAGCTATATACAGTTATGGCGCTCATATATGTAATTCTGGCCACTCTACACATGTTACTTGTGGAAAGATAATCGGGCTCAATGGATTTGATACAGGTGAAGAGCGTGAAGAATTCCATTATCCAGTAACCTTTTCAAACGACGCAGATGCGACGGTTGGTGACAGTGGAGGGCCCGCATTTTCTTATAAACAAGATTTGCAACATGTGAGTCTAAATGGCATAATAGTAGGGGGTGGTAGGAGCATTTCGGATTCTTATGCTACATATGTACCATTAGAGGATATTCTTAGAGTGTTTGAATTAAAGCTTAGTTTGAGTGGTGGTTCTAGTAGTTCTAAAACTTAAATTAACCAAATTATAATTTGATCATTAATAATACGTAGATATTTTTTAGTAACCATCAATAGTGTAATATTGCAGTATTTCTTTGCTTTTTTTCAGATTAATATCGTATCGTTAAATATAAAGCTAATATTATTGTAGTAAAAGAAAACAGTCATTGTTGTAGTTGCAAAGAGCCACAAGTGCCCGAGGAATTAATAAACCTGAATGAAATTGCAATGTGTAAAGTATGTTACCGGGATTTCACGAAAGAATTCTTGTAAAAATGATCTGCAAAAAGCACATCGGTTTTCTGTGCCAGGTGTTACGTCTAATTTTATTATTTTTTTTTATTTTTTTGCTTTCTTTGTTATTATTAATTTTTATATGGTTGGCATATACGTATTTTATTTTTATCAAATTTCCTATTTGGGTAATCTTCAATGGCTTATTGTAAAGGGGATTAACCCTCGGTAAGAGTCAAGAACCCTTGGTGAGGGTTAAAGAGTCATCGATAAGGGTTTGTAGCCCTCAGGTAGGGGTCGAAGGATATCAGTGAGGGTTTTAAGCGCTGTTGAAAATTAAAGATATAAAAGGGGTTGGATTTTGACTTAAGAAAGTTAGTGAACGTTCGATACATTTAGTTTGTTTGTATGCAAATATGTATTAAATACCCCTTCCCTATAACAAATGTATTAAAGAGAAACTTGAATAAAGAGAAAAATCCCTTTTACCCAATAAATTAAGTGTTGTAAGAAACCCTTTCCTAATACTTATCTGAAAAACTTATTCGTAATTATCGATCTATGCTCCTCAAATCACATGTCCATGTCGTTTATGATCTAAGCTAAATTGAATTAAGTTTGTTAAAGCTCTCCCCAGATCATAACATTTGGTGCCAATTGTGTGGACACTGAACGTTGTAAACCAGACAATGAAGTTAAATGTTAGTTTTTAGATTAAATATATATATATTGAGGAAAAAAGAAATCGGATTTGAAGAAGCTTATTTAATATGGATCGTTATTTGGATGTCGATAATAACAATGATAATGATGGGAATAACAGCCCAGAGAATCAAGATAATGGCTTTCAACAACAGATTCAACAATTGTTGCAATTAATGGTCAGAATTATGCCCCAATTACAACAAGATAATCAAATTTGAGAAATAAATACTATAAGCATTTTTACTTTTGCTGGAGCAAATCAGGACCCTGTGAAATGGCTTGAAATGATAAGCCACGCTTTTGAAGCTAATAATATTCAGAAAAATTGTCAAATAGCAGTTATTGGTGCGTATCTTACAGGAATGGCAGCTATGTGGTGGGAAACTAGGTGTAATACTAGACCATACATTGATCATTGGGAGGATGATTTTCACCCAGATGTTAGTTTGTTCATCAGTTTTGTCAAAACTTTTGTACACAAATGCTCATGAGTCAATAGAATACCAAACTACTCACTAAACGTCAAAGAATAGGAGAAACCATTAATCAGTATGCAGCAGATATGGTGGCTTTGTTTAGACGAGTAACAGTAGGAGGAAACCAATATTCAGACTCCATGAAAGCACAAATCTTTGTGCAAGGTTTACAACCTGATTTAGCATTAGCAGTAGGACTATTCATGTCTGGAACTCTACAGGCAACAATAGAAAGAGCCAAAGTCAGTGAATTAACTCTTTCAAGAAATTTGACAGTATATAATTTGACCCCTTTCATGAATCCTGTAGCCTCCTATCTTCAACAACCCGCAGGTGGAATAATTCAATTGCCTACATCTAATTCAGTTGAAGATCCTATGAAAAAATTAACTACATTAATGGAAGAATTAGTAGTCTTAATGAGAAATGGTAATAGTAATAATAATAGGCCTAGAGGCATTTACAATCCAAATAGAAATAACTTTCAAGGAAATCGACCATCAATCACATGTTATAATTGTCAACGACCTGGTTATGTTTTATACAAATGTCCAAATCGAACCAATAATAATTCTGTTTAACAAATAGATGAAGCTAAAAGACAAAGGCCTGAAGAAAGGGAAAGAAATCGACTAACAGTAGATGTGAACCGAACTCAAGCCATGTTGGTGCAATTGTTAAATAACAAAGAACATTTAAACTGCGAACGCACCTCTAGGGGGGTGAGAGTGCATCTACTATTATAAATCCCTCTAATAACTTAATATTTGAAGCTTATATGGCAAAAAAAAGACATAAGAACGATGGAGAAGTAGAGAAGATAACAACTCCGGAAGAGAATAAGGAAAAAGGCAGAGATCACATGAGTCAGATAAGAAAGGTTTCTAAGAAGAGAAAAACAAAGCTTGTCAAACCTTTAATAATGTCAAATATCTAGCCCTACTCTATAATGACTGGCCTACAAAATAAGAAAGCAAACATTACTTATGCTTAGTTATTTCAAGTAGCCCCTAATATTAGAAAAGAAATTGCTAAAATCACTCGGGCTGGAAGAATTGTTACATTGAAGGTAGCCGAACTCTGCTTAAAACAAGATGAGAATTCAAAGACTACTTCGATGTATTGTGAAGTGCAAGTTAAAGGCCATCCAATTCTTTTGATCTTGGACAGTAGATCATCGGGCTGTGTTGCTTCAGCAAATTTTTTAAAAGAAGTTGGCATTGTAATTGATCAACCTTCATCTGTGATAATGATCAGTGTTTATAGAGAATAAAAACGTCCTTTAGGAGAAATTGATGAATTTCTAATAACAGTTGGGAGTAAAACAATTACGTTTCATGCGGTTGTATCTGAAGCTGGGAACTATATAGTGATTGTTGGAAATAATTGGTTGAAAAAAGCAAAGGCTAGAATAGACTGGGAAGAATGTGAATTGCTAATTCGTGACAGAAAAGGAAAAATTAAGGTACCAACCGAATACTGTAAGCCTGTGAATATTTCAGAACGAATCTAAAGAAAAGATAAATCTAAACAAGTTAAAGAAGAAACTGAAAAGGATGGTTATGTGATGGATGAGGAATTAGAGTCAAAAAGCAGTGAATATAAAGAAGAATATAAAGAAGAAGATTTAATAAATAAACTTATTTTTATTAGAAGTTTGTAGAAATCCCTGATGAATCAAAAATTTGTGAAACCTGTTTAAAAAAGGGTTATAAGAATAAGAATGTATTTTTTGGAAAAATCCTGAAGCGACGACCATTTATTTAGTGGAGACAAAAGAAGCAAAAGATTTTAATTTGGGTCAATTAGATGATGAACAAGTAAAACATATGCGGTCACTATTAATAGAATACAGTCAGACCCCCCTAAATGCACCCTCTCTAAATGCAACACCTCTCTAAATGCATGTCTTCTTTTGGGCCTAACTAATATTACATATATAGATTTTTACCTCCCTAAATGCAACACCTCTTTAAATACACATGCTAGAGCTGGTCCCGACGACATGTATTTAGAGAGGTCTGACTGTATAAAGATATCTTTATAGACAAAATGGGTAAATTAGAAAAGACTTCTTTGATACAACATGAAATATTTACAGAAAATGAACCTCCGATTAAGCAAAAGTTTTACCCTACTTCTAGATCTGAGCATGAGTTTATAGGATTCGAGATTCAACATATGAAGAAGGCTGGAATTATACATTCATCAAATAGCCTGTGGGCTTCACCTATAGTATTAGTAAAGAAGAAGAATGGGTCAATGCGGTTTTGTATAGATTTTAGAAAATTGAATAAGGTAACAAAAAGAGATAGTTACCCACTTCCTAGAATTAATGAATTATTAGGAGCTCTAAAACAATTAGCATAGTATACGACTCTTGATTTGGCAAGTGGGTTTTGGCAGATAGAAATGCATCTACGTGATTGTAAAAGACGGCTTTTACTTCCTGCTTTAGATTATATGAATTCAATGTGATGCCTTTCAGACTTACTAATGTGCTAGCAACTTTCCAAAGGCTTATAGATCAAGTTTTATATGAAGTATTGTGGAAATTTGTTCTAGTATATATCAATGACGTTACAATATTTTCGCCTACATTTGATGAACATGTGAAACACGTGAAGAAAGTTTTACAATTGATTCAAACTGCAAATCTGAACTTGAATAAAGAGAAATGTTATTTTAGCCAGCAGAAAATAACATTTTTAGGGTATGAAATTAGTAAGGAAGGAATAACCCCCAGTAAATCCAAAGTTGAAGCTGTAGAAAACTTTTCACTACCTAAAAATATCAGAACGCTTTGAGGGTTTTTAGAATTAGTAGAATTTTATAGGAGATTTATAAAGAATTTTGCAAAAATGGCTGTGCCTCTATATAAGTTGTTAAAGATTAAAGAGCCGTTTAAGTGGAGTTCAAAACAACAACTTGCTTTTGATATATTAAAGAGAAACTTGGTCATAGCTCCTATATTAACTTACTCAGATGATAATAGAGAATATATTTTTATACGGATACTTCACATATCGCAGTAGGGGTTATCTTAGCTCAAATAGATGATGAAAAGAGAGAAAGGATTATTGAGTATGCTAGTAGGTCCATCAGTGTAGCTGAGAAAAATTATACTATAACCAAATTAGAATGTACAGCTATAGATTGGGCTGTTAAGAAATTTCATATTTATTTACATGGACCTAAGTTTACTATTGTCACATATCATTTAGCATTAATATATCTAAATAATATGGTAAATCCAACAGGGTGAATTGTGAGATTAATAATGATGCTCCAAGGGTATAATTTTATAATTAAACATCAGGCTGGAAAACAACTCTCTCATGTGGATGGTTTATCTCGAATAGAACATTAAAATATAAAATTATATAAATAAGTAATAAATAAATATATATATATATATATATATATATATATATAAAAGAAAGACGTTTTACTTAACTTTAAATCTGAGGAACAAAATCCAGTCCAGGTTCTGGTGTTCTGACATAAAATAATAATATTTAGAAAATAATAGATGAAAAAAACTATCAAATGTTGGTAAAATATGGGGTCTTTGCCTTGAAAATAGGGTTCCGAGGTCTCTCCAACCAAAAATGAGATTTTTGCTAAATATTAATTTATAACATACAAAGATTATTTTGTACAAATTTTATTACCTATTATCTTATTAAAAAATTGCGTTATTGAAGTCCGGATCTTTTGACTAAATTTGGCAGGAAAATCTGCTGAAGATCTAAAAATAGAACGTAAAATGATCGACATCGCAGATAAATATTTAACTGATATTTTTGTACTACTAACATTTTGCCTTGAAAATGACCCTACGAAGCTTCGTTATACAAATTCACTGATTATCCAATGAGAATAAATTCTATCGTCATGTGTTATTACTTTCTCTTAATCTTTCGGTAAATTGCTAGCTCTCATATCCGGGCATTTACATTGACTAGAGATGTATCCGGGTATTTTTTTTTATATTTTTTTTTCATTTTGTTTTGCCGTTCTTTTAAAATTTTTTTTTTTGCCCATAATATGTTTCTTAAGACAGAATTGGAGTCTGTTCTTTTGTTAGTTTAGTAGTTACCTCGGATTCTTTGCTAATATTTTCTCTTTAACTCTAGAATCATTGATTTTCTTGTTTCTCAATCTCCTAATTTTTTGCTTCAATATACTTTTCAAATCCTCTTCCAACTTTTTTTTGCTCTCCATGAACTCAACAATTTCCGCACCTAATTCTTGTAATTTAGAGTATTAACTAGTGATGTGCCGTTTATATGATAGCCTAATTTTTTTCGCGTACAGTACGTACAGTACGTACAGTACATACAGTATATAGTATATAATTAGAAATAGATATAGATCTGCATTATTACTACGGAAAAATCTTTAATACCAGGAACGGAGTGATGAATACCATGAAGTGTATGGCTTATTCGAGAAAGAAATTATGTGCGTACCCAAAATCTAATACCCGATTGGTCGTCGTGATCATAGTTGTCACATCTTGTATATTCTTCACCACTATTAAAATCACGACCCATCTCCGTCAAAGCCACGAATCTGCATTACTAAACGATCATTCACTGTTAAAATCTCTGCTAAGTCATGAATTTACACAACAAATCTGGAATCAACCCATTGCTAAAATCTTTAACTTATCATTACTCGAATCGTAAACACTCATTGACTTACTTATTTAAATTACTTACCACTAAAATTAACCCATTAATATTAAAAGCACTAACAGATCTACTGTTGAAATAATAAACTCACTCGCTGTTCAAATCACTCACCCATTTTTAAAATCACCAACGCCCATTGTTAAAATCATTATTCTACCCACCATTAAAATCGTTAATCACCCATCGTTGCAATCACTAACCTGCCATTCATTTTTTAAATTATGACCTTACCCATCATTGAAATCATAAAATATAGAAAACAGACAAATAAATCTTCACAGTGTCAAATATTAGTATAGATTGTTCGTTATTCGCAAAAAATGCTCATTGACTAAGCTATGCAGATACATGTTAAAGTTTTGTACCAACACTAACCATTTATCAGCCAATCCTATCACCCAAGCTTTATTAATGAAATGACCACTGGTAAATTTTAAAAAATTCGACACGTTGAATGGCATCATTCAACTGCCATTAGACTTGCATTCAATATGTCGAATGATAAGTAAATTCAACTTATATTCAATATGTCATGTGGCTTCTGTGGCTTCACAGACATCGATGTCCGTAAAGCCACAGAAGCCACATAATATATTAAATATAAGTTCAATTTACTTATCATTCGACATATTGAATGCAAGTCTAATGGCAGTTGAATGATGCCATTCAACGCGTCAAATTTTTTAAAATTTACCAGTGGACTGTCAATAAAATAATTTATGAAATTGATTTGGGTCCGTATTATTTCACCAACAATCACTTCACCGACAGCTCATTTAGCTGACATCATGCCAAGTGAAATTTAGTAAAAATATATACCTGCAACTAATCAATTGCTTAACCCTAACCCTATGTGATATCGGCTAAATGAACGTTCAGTGAAATGATTGTCGGTGAATTGATCGGAACCCAA